TTTTAAAATTATGCTTCACATCCTTGTTAGTGGAAATAAAGATAACCATGTAGTATACCTATGTTACGCCGCTGACCCACATGTTTAGATTTAATATTTTACGTCACTCTATCGCTGCCTGTCTACATTACTCATTACCAATTGTTGTGTCGCATGATTTACATCGTAAAACCGACCACATTTTAGCGATTATGAAAAAGTGTAAAAGGGTAAAAACTATCGAAAATCGTATTAGAAATACGATAAATTAAAAAATAAATGAAAGAATTCAGAGCACAGGTAGGAGAGTAATGTTTTTCTTTTTATTTAACTGATTTTTAGTTTGCAGAAGATACTACTTCATGTGTAAATTTCTGCATTTAGATGACAAATAAATATACAGAAGATACTACTTTATGTGTTAACGGTTCATAAAATCAGTCTGCAAAACGAAAAATGCTACCTAATGTGCAAATTTAGCAAAACTTTGATAAGGGCAGATACTACTTTATGTGTAAATTCTGCATTATAGACAAATACATGTACAGAGGAGGCTACTTTATGTGTTAACTCTGATCTTATACTTAGCTCAGCTAACCGCACCGCAAATAATTCTACTTAATGTGTGAATTTCGCAAAACTTTGGCCACAACAGATAATATTTCATATGAAAATTCTGCATCATAAACAAATAAATGCACAAGGGAGGCTGCTTTATGTGTTAAATCTGATCTTATACTTATAAGATGCTAGCCCGGCTAACCGCAATGCGAAAAATGCTACTTTGTAAACTTCAAAAAACTTTGAAAGCAGAATGTAGGTACTATGTAAATTCTGCATTAGAGACAAATAAATGTCTGGTAACTCTGGTCTTATGCTTATAAAATGCAAGGACGCAAAAATGCTACGAAAAGCTCATGGATTATATTACTGTATGGGTAAATACTGCACCTTAAACAAAATGCCCCTTTATGTGCACATGAATTAGCCATTAATTAAATATAGATTTAAGTTTATTCAGAATCAGAATCTAAGAGGTATATACATTAAACCCGTCATCTTACCAGAACAAACGTTCGAATAGTAAGGATCAAATTCAGTATCAGGATATTCTGGGAGCGGATCCTAATAACACCATTTCTCTCGGAAAACCAATCAACGAAGAAATGGTAAAAAGTTGGGAAAATATTTGCAAGACGGTTTGGAGAATGGCAAAATATCAAAGTTTCTTTGCGAAATCAAAATCTGGAATACTTTCACTTAAACTCCGAACCAAAAAGTTTAGTGACTAGTCACGTCATCAAATAAAACCGACAGTTATTTGTATATGCTGCAAGACCAACTTAAAAGGTGATGGGAAGTTTAGCTGAACCTCTGTAAGCTAGGCTTGGATGGAATAGAAATAGACGCATCAAAACAAATGCAAATGTAACAAAAGTATTATCAGACATCTACCATAGAATATATGCATCGTAGACACCTTGTATATATGTCTTTAAACACAAATGTGGAAAATATGATAGAAAAAGCAGATATCGATAGTTTTTTCATTTTGGAAAGAATCTTGTAAAGATATGGAAGTCAGACAAAGCATTTGAAAAAACTGGCATAAATTAATTTAATTTAAAGACACCAACTAAAAGCAAACAATAAATTTAATCAGTCTTTAAACTTCAGGCGCCTACTTTTAAATAGTGACTAAAGAAAACCAGGCCAGAGAAAAAGCAGGAGAAAAAAACCCAAAGGACGAACGAACAAGTATTCAGAAAAACAGGGAGGGAAGAAGTAGTTATTAAGGAAGGAAATAAAAGTAAGAGAGATTACTGGTCGACTGAATAAATTTGTAAAACATGTGGGCTAACTTAACTAATGATAAGAAGGTCCTAAGATATGTTGAAGGTTTTAAATTAATCTTTAAAACACACCAGAGCTTTCACCAAAGAATGTTTTCTCTTAGAGAAAAAACTAACCTACACACTTCATGTAACAAAAAAAGACAAAAAAAGTACTAAAGAATACAACAGGTGTTTGCTTGCTAAAGAAAATTAGTGTGGTCCTTATATTCTTTAAGACCCAAATGAAACGATTCATCTAGATTCATCTTTAACAAATATATAGATTCTCGCATTTCAAACTGGAAGATCTCAGGTCTGCCCAGAATATTTTGTTACAGGACAATTTTGTCAAAAATTAAATTAAAGATGCCTCTTATCTCATCTCAATACATAAAAAATAAGGAAAGTATTTAAAAAAAAAATAATAATAATAATAATAATAACTTACGAATTGAAGTGTCTTACATTTGATTTGACCATTTACTCCATATGTTTTTGCTTTATATATAAAACCGGTAGTGCATCAACTAAGGCTTTTGGAAATAACCTTAATGATTTCCTAATTACATCTAAATCTAGTGAATGTCTCAAACATTGTAATACAATGGTTGATTCTTTACATCTCTATGACTCATCATAAAATAGTATATTACATTACGAGTGTGGAAAATCACTTTTCACACAAGTGATGTACAATATTTTTCCTACGACCACAAAATAATGTCATCAAAAAAAATGTAAAACCAAGGTTATTATTACTATAATAAGTAAAATGTATTTAAAAAAAATAATCAACAATAATCGTATTTATTTAATTTTCATATTTTCTAAACAAAAAAAAACTAAAAAAAAAATAAAAAAAACAAACAAAAAATTCTGCTCCGCGGTCGAAAAATGGCAAAGTTCGATGTCCTAACCAACTGAGCTAATAGCCCTTGTATCAATTGAATGATCTAATCGGTTATGTATTTAACCAGAATAAAGAGCAAACATTATTTTAAAATTATTTTAATAATAATTGTTAAATATAAATATCTAGGATCTAATTTACAACAATTTAAATAATTTAACAATCATATCGATTTTAGTAGGTATTAGTATGGATATTACATAGATCAAAATAGAAATTAGCTGTTTGACATTTTGTGGCAACTACTGCGGAAAGTAACATATTCTCACTCGGGTGGAAAGTAAATTCTTATTCATACGCGTGTGATATAGGGCACTTTCCATAGGACTATATAGTGTGATATGGGTCACTTTCCTAAGTGGTCGTAGGAAAAAAAATTAAATGCTTTTTACGGTACATGTCAACATTAAACCTAGTTATTCATTGCAGCAACCCTTCATTTAAAACTCCTTATGACCAGAGTTTTGCCCTAGCTCTCATTATAAATAGTCCCCAACTTTTATCATAGAAATCCTGAATAATAAAAGAAAATGTATATTAGGAAATTTCTAAAAGGGTCATCCTATTTTGCCAAAATTTATTCAAACTTGAGATTAAAACACAGTTTTAAAATACATCAGTTGTTTCTTTCACTTGAAAAACTTAAAACAGCTAAGAGACAAACTTGTTATGTTTGCAGCCCAACGGGTATAGACTTTCTCAAAAATTAAAGTTGAAAATTTCAACGAAGGAACCCGAATGAACCCACTGTTCATTCGGGTTCCTTCGCCATTTTGGCTGGCAAGTTTGGTCTGCTAAGTTCACACCAGTTAAATTCAGTTAGTTTCCATCACTATAAGCGCTCGATATGGTCGAGTGGCGTCGGTTCCAGGTTAATAAATTTTAATTAATAAATATTGCATTAAATATTAAATAAACAGTAAAAGTAAGAACATTTTAAACAAATGTAAAGCATAAAATACATATTAAGCCAGATTTAAGAAAATTTGTATTCAAGAGAAATGAAAAATTGGTCTTTTTAAGATTTTGATATATCGCGGCCAACAAAGAATCTTAAATAAGTCCAAAACAAGAAATACTATCAAGTTAAAATTTTAACACGATTTAATCTATTCATAAGCCTCACTAAAAAAGTTACTGTCAATGTTTCGCAAGCCGTCAAAAAGTAAGAAAAAATATATAAAAAAAACTAAAAATAAAACGTCTGTCAAAAAATTATCTACAATGCCTCCATAACTAGACATACTATCAAGTTCATATTTTAAATAGAATAATTCTATACATATCTATATATAATAGTGGTACTGTCAGATCATCTCCAGCCGTCAAAGAGTAGGAAAAATTTAAAAGAATATAAAAACTCTAAAGATTAAAAGTCTCCTAACAAATTATCTACAATACCTCCATAACTAGACATACTATCAAGTTCATATTTTAAACAAAATAAGTCTTGACATATAGCTGAGACTAATCGTACTCCTTTTGATTTTGCTGATGGTGAGTCTGAGTTAGTTTCAGGATTTAATGTTAATATAATAGTGGTACTGTCAATTCATCGCCAGTCGTCAAAGAGTAGGAAAATAATTAAAAGTATATAAAAAAACTAAAAATAAATAGTCTGCTAACAAATTATCTACAATACCTCCATATCAAGTTCATATTTTAAACAGAATAAGTCTATACATATCTTTATATAATATTGATACTGTCAATTCATCGCAAGCCATGAAAGAGTAGGCAAAAATTAAAAGAATATAAAAAAACTCTAAGAGAGAGAAAGAGAGAGAGAGAGAGAGAGAGAGAGAGAGAAAAAATAGTTAAAACGGATTCAGGGGACCCCAAAACGTAAAAATCCGTCGAAAACGTGGAGGTCTAAAAGAAATCATGATTCCTATACTTTCCTTATCTCTATACAGTATAACAGTATACAGGAAAGTAATAGTAATAATTTTGGCCGCGTAAATCGTTCAAATACCCATATGTGCGTCTGGTAATAAATTTTATCAGTCGTATAAAAAAGTTTGTAAAAAATTAAAGTACCTTTACCCTTCAGCAAAAATTATATTTTTTGAAAAACCTTGTATACGGTTTAAAAACATTGATATCTGATTACTGCATTATAAGTTTTGTACCATGCAGAACATTTTATCACGAATAAATTTTTTCTCAAAACCAATAATAAAAAAGTTTTTCATATGGTTCCAATTTAGTGAGACATATTGTAGAAAACAATAGAAATACAAATTTTTTTGCAGATATTATGTAAATTATCTTACCTTGGATATTCATTTTTGTATACTGCAGTAGGAGCATACAAAAAATATATAAATTTTGAAACCGGTGGACAGTAAACTCCATTTTTATAATCAGATCGTTTATTTAATACGTTTCCAACATTACTTCTAACAAATGCATGAATTTTCATCAAAAATCGTACCTAAAAAAAATATTAATAAGAGGCTTGTCCTTCTCTTTAGAAGCTGGGTGATTAAGATGGTGACAAAAAAGTAATTTTCTATTAAATGGATAAGAAATATATTTTTTCTAAAACCATAGTTTAAAACACGCTTCCCTGCATAGTTTTGTTTTGTAAATTTATTTATTTATATTTCTTAATAATTCATTTAAAACTTTGGCACAAACAATTACACACAAATATTCGCCTTCAACCTTTTACAAATATTTTAGAAAATTTCGTTAATAAAGCATAACTTCTACATCTAATTTAAATATTATAGAAAAATTTTCCACAACTGCCAGAATTTTAATTAAAAATAAATATAAATATTTTTTAATTATGCTAGAAATTAGTATATATTATAGTAATGTGATTTTTTTGGACTTATTTTTTAATAATTTTTATAAATTAGTATTATCTAAATAAAGTGAAAGAAATCATCAATTTCCAAATGTGACAAGATGTAGGTAAAATAGTATCCAAAAAGTGAACAAAATGTTTGCCCTAGTTCTAGAACTTTTACAACAGTAACACTTGATATTTATGCAATCCGGTCTGGTCATTTATCCTATCTACATTACTGTTTTACTCTCCTATCTTGTAATGAAGTCAATTTTTCCTCAATCGGTTTATTTTAATTTTTCATTTTTAATAAATACGTGAATTGTGATTTTAATAGATGCTCACCTAGTAAAAAGATCTCAAAAAAACAGTTTTAGAAACATTAAAATTAACTAAACACGTAGTAGATAAAGTGAAGAAAATAAAAAATACTTTTTTTATGTTCCTCAAGTTGATACATAACTACTTTTTTAAATGGCAGCCAACACGCATGCGCCTAATTTTTTAACTTCGCTTCTTTGAGGTTTGTATATTCTTAGCATGCAATTTGTTATAGCAATAGAAAAAGTAAAATGTTCAACTTGCTCGTTAATCAATATATTATTGTGACTATGGCTTTGAGATTTGTTTGATGTATTTTACTTTTCGGTTACATTTGAGTTTGGAAATATTTCCTTTTTTAAGAATAGGCCGCATGGCTTTAATATCATATTGGATAAAAAATTAAAAGATTAAGTTAAACAATGTAATATTGGATATTAATTTATAAAATGTTTCAAACTCAATAAAATACTAGATGCATAAATAATTGAATTTAACGAATACTCACCGATTCCATGCTCAAAATCATAGCTGAAGCAAATGGTAAATCAAATTTATTGATTATAGATGACGTAATATAAAATGATAGTACATAGTACGTCACCAATATAATTATGCAAAAACCATCCCATTTTTGTGTATTAGCAACTATTAGAAAAATATATATATGTAATCTATTAACGAATATTTTTAATTAATTTAGTGGGTTTCAGGGTTATAAAGAGTAAAATTTACAAACGTCATTAGAAAAGCAAATTTTAGAAACTTGAGTAAATTATCTTTCAGAATGAATCATGTACCAAGTGTGAAGAAAATTGCGGAAGTCATTATGAGCCTAGGATACCATAAATTAAATACCTGAATAAGTAAAACCAATTTATCTTATCAGTGATAAAAAAACTGTTGGAGAAATTGGTATTAAAGAGGCTTGAAGGTCTGATTTATCCTTTAGGATAATTAATTGGGATTTAGAGCACAACGTTCTACAATAGATCAGGTTCTCAGGATTATAGAGGAAGTCTGTAAAAAGACTGTTCTTCATTGACTCAAGTAAATTGTACTCAAAGAACTCAGTAAGTGGTACTCATAAGTACTTTCATCATCAAAAAATTTCTAGTACTTTATATTTTAGAGTACTCAGTACTTTTTATTCCTACAGCTGATGAGTAACGAGTACGAGTACCGACATGCGCATATGTAGCTAGTTACTCCCAATGAAGTTACGAAAGAAATTCAGACAAACATCAACTCACAGAAAGTCCCAGGATATGACCTTATTACTGGAGAAATATTAAAGAAACTACCGCGGAAGGCTATTGTTAAATTGACATATCTCATAAATGCAGCATTTCGCCTTAAATATATACCTGATGCGTGGAAAATGGCTGAAGTTATCCTAATTCCTAAGCCAGGAAAACCTCTGAATGAAGTGTCGTCATATAGACCTATATCATTGTTACCGATGTGTGTGTGTGATTAAATTTAGGTTTCCCTTGGCTACGGATACTAAGTCCATTCGCCAGATTGTTACCGATAATATCTAAGTTATTTGAAAAACTGTTACTAAAACGACTAAAACCAATAATTGAAAATAAAAATCTGATCCCTTTGCACCAATTTGGTTTTAGAAACAAACACTCGACAATAGATCAAGTACACAGGATAGCCGATATCATCGAAAAAGCTTACGAAGAAAAATATATATGCTCAGCTAGATTTCTTGACGTAGCCCAAGCATTTGACAAGGTCTGGCACGCTGGCCTAATACAGAAACTTGAAAAAATTCTCCCTAGACAATATGTCGACATTCTACAATCATATTTAACGGGAAAAATGTTTAGAGTAAAGCAAGACGAGGCATACTCCGAAATGAAAGAAATTAAAGCAGGTGTCCCACAAGGCAGTGTGCTAGGACCGGTTCTTTATTTATTATACACCAGCGATATCCCTCAACAACAATCTGTTAAAATAGCAACATTTGCAGATGACACTACAATATTGGCAGTTGGCGGAACTAATACAGAGACCTCAGAAAAACTTCAGGAAACCTGCAACAGAATTAATCGATGGACAAAAAAAATGGAAAATAAAAATAAATCAAAATAAATCAGTGCATGTTGATTTTACTCTTCGACCAAATGAACAAAAACAAATAAGAATAAACAATGACGTTATTCCGCATCACGATTCGGCCAAATACCTAGGGATGAACCTAGATTTAAAACTTAAATGGAAAGAGCACATAAAAAAAAGCGTAAAGAACTTTTACTTAAATTCAAAAAAATGTATTGGCTCCTAGGAAGAAAATCCAAATTGACAGTGCACAACAAACTGCTGATTTATAAACAAATCCTAAAACCAATCTGGATTTATGGCATACAGCTATGGGGATGTGCCAGCAAGAGTAATATCAACATGATTCAAGTTTTCCAAAATAAAGTCCTAAGATGTATTGTTGATGCACCTTGGTTCTACCGAAACGATTATCTTCATAGAGACCTGAAGATGCCAACAATCGAAGAAGAAATAAAGAGGTTTGCTGCGAAACATGAGAGTCGACTCCACTCCCACGTCAACGAAGAAGCGCTGCAATTACTGGACAACTCTACACTCAACAGAATGCTCAAAAGGAAGAAGCCATTTGAGCTAGTGCAGTGAACGTTAATGTTAGTGCTAGTGTAAAACAGTGTAATAAATCTTCAGCCAACTTCTGATGCTTTCCTATAGAAACAATTAAGACAGCCCAATGGGGACTTCTTAGATAAGTAATTAGTTTGTAAGATTTTTAGATTAAAATTGTAGGTTAGTCAGTAATGACTAGTAACAATACTCTAACAAAAAAAAAAAATATGTATTACAATAATTCCACCTTGGTATGTACAACTTTCTAAATCATACATAGGAAATATTTTATAGAGTGAAATAAGAGAAAATATAATTAAAATATGCTAAAGGAGTGTCTTTGGTCCTGTCTTCTGTCTACTATTTACCTAAAATATGCCAGAAATAAATAATTTTAAAACCTCTACGTTAGCTTTAGGAGAAAATGCAGATAAAGCCATTAAAAATCTAAAACAAGCTACTCACAAATTCAACAAATGAAATGAACAGTAAAGAGTAAAATTAGTCGAAATATAGGAATAAAAATTTCATATATAAAAATAACTAAAATAGTAGGGGCATTAGGGTGGCCCAAAAAAAGCGAACTTTTTTTTTATTTAAGTCTCCTATGAAAATATGTTAGTTTATCATGTTTTAAGAGCCCCCTCCAAAATACAGCTCAAAAAAAAATTTTTAAGGGTCGCTCCCAATTTTTTAAAAATTCCAAAATCGTCGAAAACCGGATTTTTTTGTTTTAAATTTTCTTTCTCATTATTTTATTTTTTTCTATAAGAAAAATCATAAAGATCCTGAAAATTTCAAGTCGAAATTTTAATATTGGAAGGTCGCTCCGAATTTTTCTAAAATTTCAAATCGAGTACTTTATATCTTTTCGAGCTACTTTTGAACTTTATATTTTTTGTTTTCATTAAACTTTTTTTCGTTTCTCGTGCTCAGTTTCATTCTTTAGTATGTAAAATGAAAGAAAAAATATATAAAGTTCGTTAATATTTATATTCAAAAGTAGCTCGAAGAGATATAAAGTACTCGACTTGGAACCTTAAAAAAATTTAGAGTGACCTTTCAATATTAAAATTTCGACTTGATATTTTCAGCATCTTTATGATTTTTCATATAGAAAAAAATGAAATAATGAGAAAAAAAAATCAACGATTTTGGAATTATTTTGAAATTCGGAGCGACCCTTTAAAAAAATTTTTTGAACTGTCCTTTGTAGGGGGATCTTAAAACATGATAAACTAACATATTTTCATAGGAGACTTAAATAAGAAAAATATTCTCTTTTTTTGAGTCACCCTAAGGGGCATATACACAGATAGAGAATACTCAAAAGAAGTCATATTTTAAAACATGTTGCCTGATTCCGTCATTTGTAAAGTGGAGCAAACCACTCTAAAAAAAAACTGGCACCCAGTTCGAACGCCACAAGTGAGAGTATTTTTAACTAGTTGAGAAAACCTGTCACAGTTCCAATTTATTAATAATTGAACTACTGTGGGGTAATCGTTTTCTCTAATTAAATAAATACAATATTTACGATATTATTTATTGAAAAAATTAAATTACATCATATGTAAAAGTATTGTTTTCAAATAGAATATATATCAATGTCATAATCTCAACAGGCTTGGAAAGTAATTCAAAATAGAATCATGGAGGGAAGGGAAAGCGCTTCAGACAGAGATAGATGAAAGTGCTAACACAGCTTATACACTACAGCTCCACAACTCCGTGTCGGCGCCTTTGATTTGGCAGTCGAGAACCAAGCAAGACGGAATGGTGCTATCTCTATTAGAATCGACGGAAAAGTCGGGCCCGGATTAAAAAATATTTTTATTATTGAAATAATTGAAAACCTTGGCATAATAAGGTTGGTTACATGCCACATTAAGTAAGTTTTGTGAAATTAAGTTCTAAATTTGTTTTAAATCTGTCAAATATAATTAAAAAAATTATTTAAATATAAATATTACGAAAAATAGCACATCTTTCGGATTAGAGGTAAAATAATTTGTATGTGGCTAGTAATATCCTCGTTAACAGATGTTTTAAGTTAAAACAATCACTTCACGACAAATTGTGGCTTGGATCCTTTTTACATCAAGGGTTTCAATTGTTAACGAATTTTGTCACGCCCGTGGATGCAAATCAAGTGGTACCCTGTGTGTCTGGCAAGTGTTACTCATCCCGCAAAGGGTTTATACCTAGATAAACGAATGCTTCGACTGAGATCTGGGAACTCTATGGTATTCTGGAATTATAAAGAATTGGTCACTTGTGCTCACAATATATCCCCTATAGTAATGTTACTGGGATTCAAGAAATGGCTTTGAGTTACGCTGCGGCCAAACACAGGTCTCATGGCGCTAGTATCGTTTTGAATTTTGACACGTCCAACATCGGCACGTTCATTGGTTGAAGAGGAAGTTTTTGACAAGAGAAGCATGAAGTGTCAGTATTGACAAGTGATAATTTTTTGATTTTTTCTTCTACAAAATTTAATATTAATTTTGTTTCAGCGATATTTATTGTGATTTGTGTTGTTGTATTAAGTGCTTTCTTATTTAATATGGGAAACAAATCGTACAACAAACTCAGAAAAAGAGGAATCAAGGAGGGATTGCTGTGACTGTCATCCAAGGGTCTCCGTCCTAGATAATACTTTTCCAGTGGGAAAAGCCTTTAAAATTCAAGTATAACAATTTTATGTTTCCGTTTTCCCTTCTTTTAATGTAGGTGCCAATTTTGAGGTAAGTTTGTAATAATTTTTCATATTTTTTCAGTTAATACCTACCCTCTTAATATTATAATTTAACTAAGATCTTATGCTTTCCTATGGACACGATTCAAGGAGGGAGTCCTATGGCTGTCATCCAAGCCCTAGATAATAGTTTTCCAGTGGCAACAGCCTTTAAAATTCAAGTATAATAATTTACTGTTTCAGTGAAGTAGCTGTCCATTTAAACTAAATTTTTTTATTTCACTCATTCATTTTAGCATTTATATACAGTATCGGCTAATGAACAGTTTCCAATAAGCTTGGCTAGCATCGAAAAGAAAACTAAAGAGTTAGTGCATTAGTTCGATCAGGAAACGAATAATATGAATGTTGCCTTGTGTGCTGTGTAATATGAACAGGCACACGGTGCGATGCATCCCCACGTAGCCGGCTGGTTACGTTCATAGTATTCTATTCCTTCTCCTACTAATGCTAACTCTTTGTAGTTTTTACTTGGACATAAGCAAAACGTATTGTACAACATTCGATAGCTGTCACTGTATTATCACAAACATCTGTTAATAACTAAATGATTTCATTTAATAGTTTCTTTTTTTTTTCAGTAAAATGAATATGGCTAGAGTTATCATCGACTTTAAAATAAATTAAATAAGTTTTATAATTTTTCAAATAAAATACTTTATTTGTTTTTTTTTTACCAGAGCCAATTTTTTTTCAGATCTAACCTCTATAGGTAAAAAAAAAAATGATTCAGGTAAAATTGAAAAGTATATTACATGTTCTTTTAAATGTGTTGTTAATACAAATGCTGCTCTTATTGTAATAGCTAACAATAAAAAAATTAGTATTATTTTTAGCTATCAAAATAAAAATAGCGCCTGGATTTACAGCTCGTTTAATCCAACATGCAATATACTTCTCAATTATTGCCGAATGAATATATTTCAAAATTCCCGCCATGCCGCGGCTGAAAATTTACGATTTTGGCGGGAAATTTAAATTTCGCCTTAAAATTATATTTGAATTTACCGCCATATTGAGTTAGTTGAGCGGCCAGAAGCATACGCATTTTTGCGCTGCAAACTTAGTGCCAACTCTTTAACAAGTGAGATGCACTACTATAGGGGATATATTGTGCTTGTGCTTTTATTTTAACAATATTGGTTTTATTAAGATGTATTTTTATTAATTGGAATACAGATTTGTAGAAGTAATACTTTGACAGTTTTTATTAATATATTATATTCAATTTTTATCTGACCATACCGAAGTAGGGAATTTTGAAACTTTATAGTAATGTGAAATTTGAATTACAATATTACACGAAATTACATAATTATTAGTACCTACTTATTTTATGTATATAGGTACTAAATTTGTACTTGGAGAAACTAATATCGATTTTTACAAGAAAATTTTGAAAAGTAAATTATTTTAGTTTCTATTTCTGATGTAAAAATTAAACCAAGAAAACAAATAAATAGTAATTTGTTCAACAAGAGTGGATATGATACTCAATCGTCTGATTGTGATATGGACAATCCACTCGAGTTGTACAGTATATTTTTTCTACGACCCACTAACGAAAATCTACAAATTTAAAAAGTTATTTAAGGTTATTTAGACAAAATAACTAATTTTACAATAATATACGAATTTTACTAATTTATAAAATAAAATAAACATAAAAAAAAGATTTAATTTAATTTAACTAGTCCTCGGCCTACATTCTATCCCGGGCTTTTCGCGTGGAAGGCAGATGCTCTGTACTCATCTTTACTAACACTTTCAGGATTTTAGTTTTAATACCCGTAATTAAATTAGTATCATGTAGTTTGATTAAAATTTATTTTTTTTTAAATGTGGACCCAATAAAAACAAAAATGTTATTATTTATCGAGTCTACACAAAAATAAATTATTTTAATGTTAAAGTATATACTGACAATTAGTTTGACAGAATTCTTACTTATTTAAAAAATTTTAAATAATAGGAGTTGGGTGACCAAAATATGAACTGAGATTTGTATATTTAATTTTTTTAAAGTGTTCTCACTACCTAAAATGGATATGAAATATATTCGTTTAGTTGAACGCAATAGCATACCTTTTCGTTTTGTAGTCTGTGCGTAGATTAGCTAATATCCATGTGGGCGTAAAACAATTATTTTTTCTACACCCACATGGCTATTACCTTATATACGCACAGATTACAAAACGAAAAAGTATGATATTGCCTTCAGCTGAACGAATATATTTCATATCCATTCTAGGTAGTGAGAACACTGCAAAAAAAATTAAATCCGCCAATCACCGTTCATATTTTGATCAACCGACTGCTATTATTTTTAAAATTTTAAATAAATGACAAATCTGTCAAACTAATAGTCAGTGTATTTTTTAGTTATTGAGATTAAACATACATTAAAATAGGTTATTCTTTTGGAAAACGTTGGTATGGATTACTAAAGGGTATTGGGTTAATTAATTCTAAAAGTGTGGTACAAATGCTATTTTTTGTAGCCAATTTTTCAAAATTATTTTGAAATATCTTTTTAATTTTGAAAATTAATTCTACAAATTCATCATTTGGCAATTGCAGATTTCCAAATGTATCTGAATTGGCGTTATCATATGCCATTAAAAAGCAATAAAAAGAAAAATCCTTTAATTTATCGTGATCTTTGTTATATTTAAGACAAATATCATAGGAGTGGATCCGCAAGGCTTTTAATAAAAGGTTACCACACACGTACCATATAAAATTTTTTTGTAGCGACTTATCTTTACAATAATTTAGGGCGTTAATAATTTCATCATAAAATAAAATACAAGGTGTTCCATTTAAAAAACATACATTTTGATTTGCCAGGCAAAAACGCGACACCCTGTATATCCAAAGATATTTTAAAAATATGTAGGTATTTTTCAAATCCATATAACTTTTATTTAAAACTTTTTTGCGTGTCTATAACCCTGTATAAATTATATATTTAACAATGAAAATTTCTTATAATGTGGTACTAAAGTACCAAATGTATATCAGTTTGGGTCCTTGGAAAAACGAAAGAATGTTTTCTCTCAGGTATAACCCTTATTAAAACAACTTTTAACTGCACAAACAGAATATGATGTCTTTTTTTCACTCATTCCTCTCACAGCTAAAGAGTCTACAAAATAATAACAGTATCTTTAATTTAACACAACAGATAGCTCAAACAAAATCAACGAAATTATAGGCTCAACGAAATTATGGAATCAACGGAATTAGGCGCATGGCTCAATACCTTACCTAAGTACGCTTCTAAATGCCAAAGCCGTCTTTTTCGTCCGAAGGCGGAGCTTAAGCGATGCGCGACGGAATCGACGCAAACCGTTGCCGCCAAGAGAGTGTTTTAGCTGTTTTATATAAGCTGTGGTGCTAACTGCAAAGGTGCAAATTTTTATTACAATTCTAGACATTCCTGCAGGGATACGCGCTCAGGAGTAAGATATGTTACGATACAAGTTGCTATTTTATCTTTCTGGAAAAGCTTTTTAATAAGTCGCTTCAGAGTACGCGTCTAAAGATAAAGACACAAAAACACCAACTAATTAAAAAAAAAGGAATACGAAAATCAGCCATCACGAAGTATGTGCGAGCCCGCACGTTGTAATTTGTGGAAGAGCCACACTCAAGGGGCTAAAGAGCCGCGGTGTGCCGACCACAGCCTAGAATATTAGAATGGTTTAACCTTTCCAAGGTGAAATCATTATAATATATAGATATACCTATGCGCGTGTCGGTACTCGTTACTCGTCAGCTGTAGGAATAAAAAGTACTGAGTACTCTAAAATATAAAGTACTAGAAATTTTTTGAGTATGATTACCATCCGGAGTACCAATTACTAAATTCTTTGAGTACTCGAGTACAATTTTGAGTACAATTCACTTGAATACTGCCCAGCTCTGCGCTTATCCAACTAATGTGAATAACTTTCAGAGATTTCCAAATAAAATACGTATTCCGAAATATATTTGTGGATATTCCCAGTATATTAACAATACAGAATAACTCAAAGTAGACAAAATAAATCCAAACTAAAGCGAAAAATACTTAACTACACAAATGTCATGTCACATGCCAATTGAAGACACTTTCTGGTTTGTCTTTTATCTTTTCAGATGTGATATATTGCCTGCAAACAATTACTTGGAACCTCCTTAGTGCAATAAGCTTTGCATTTATGCGAAGGTAAAAAATATAATATCAAAAAAATAGAATATAATACAAACCTTTCTGTCTAATTTTTTCCCAAAATAAAAAACAGTAATACATTGAGATTGTCAAAATATTATTCACTATCCAAAATGAGAGTACTACATCTATTTTTCCAAATTTATTATAAATTAAAATAAGTGCCATGGGAAATCTGAAAATAAAAGTAATAATACTCGTAGTATTAATATTAAAAAACAACTAAAAACAAAGAAGGCCATGGGCAAGCAAGATAAGTAATTCGATAGGAAATTTCATTCAAAATTAACCACCATTAGTTCTAATTTTTTTTGCACAGATTCAACAGGCTCTGACTCACGGCAGTTTTCAATTCATAAATATTTGGTGTTGTTATTTATTTTAAACTTAAAGGTTTACCAATGTTATTTAGGTTTTTGTTTCCTCTCAACTTAATCAACACGTCTGTAAGAGGTTGGCAATGGGTTTGGTAATACCCTGTATAGTAGGGAACAAGAGATGAAATTTATAAGTTAAGTTAAAAATTGCTCTGTGACAAAAAAAAAATTCTTACGCGCTCGGACTAGTTTCTTACGCTTTCCCTCAACGGCCTCAACACCACGTGTGTGAAGTTAGCATCTCAATTTTCAGCATTTTATATTTAAAGTAGAGTTCTTATAGCATCCAATATAGTTCTATAGTTACCGATACTTTTTATAAATAGTTCTGTTGAATTTACTACCGAAATTTGCAATTTTAAAAATGAGATACTAATGGCCAAAAGTTAGCATCCCAATATCCTAAATAAAATAAAATAATAAAAACATAAAAAATAATAAATACTGCCATGTTATGACAACTTCTAGAACACAAGTATTAATAATAAACCATAATTATAGGCTCTATATAGTAAAATTGTCATATTAAGACGAGTTCTAGAACACTTAATGCTTCTAAATGATAACTTGACTCTCTCTGCATTGAGACCTGAAGTGTTCTAGCGTCTAGCACTTTTTAAATAATTTTAAGTATAAATAATAAACAGAAATTGTAGACCATAGTGAGATGCTGGCACATTATGACTTTACATTTTCTAGAACTCTTCATAATGTGCCAGCATCTCACTATGGTCTATAATTTCTGTTTATTATTAATACTTAAAATTATTGAAAATGTGCGAGAGGGTAGAACTCTTCGGTGTCAATGTAGAGAGAGTCAGGTTAACATTTAGAGATATTTTAATTTAGTAGCATTATGTGCTCTAGAAGTTGTCATAATATGACAGCATTATACTATCGTTTAGAATTTATATTTTTAATAATTATTGATAATCATTTTAATAGCGCCAGAGCTATAAATAAAATAATTTAGGTATGCAAACGAACAAGAACTCTAGAACTATTCGTAAACTATCGATTTACCGTCTATTTTGTTTTATTTTATTCATTATACAGGGATGCTAACTTCCGGCCGTCAGCATCTCATCATTGTATAAAGAACTAATAGTAGTCTCACCTTATAGAAGTTTCATTGGAGTGAAATGGATACTACCAATAGATGGCGCTAGTGAATATGGATAAGTCGATATTCGCTTGCAGTGGGCGGAGTTGAGGGTCCACCTGAAATTTTAGTGAATGACGGAGATCGATCGATGGATTTCTATGTTTAGCTCTTGGATGAAATTTCATTAACTCGTAATTCATTACTTGGACCACACTATCTCTCTATATAATGTTTGTTATTTTGCATTGTTAGTGCGTTTACGGGTAGTAGGTATTGTGAATGAGTTGTGTTTATGTTTTATTACTGAATTATTTTACTGTTAATAAAGGACGAGTTCCCAACAAGAGTACCTACATGATTTATATAAAAAAAATTAAATTATAGTTTAAATTAGTTTTTGGAAAGTGTCAAAAATGTTTATCGAATTCAGTAAAATGATAAGTACTGAAAAATAAGAATATTATAGCCAATAATAACTTTTGAATTTTCAACTTTAACACCCTGCATTTCGAAAACGGGTATTTTTTTTTCTAAGCATATTTCGTTTAATAGTTTTATTTTTAATCAGATAATCTTTAGTTGTACTATGTCCCATTCTTAATAATACATATTATGATATAAATTAGTTAACTATTAATTAATGTTTTAAAATTAGAATTAAAAATTTGTTTATTTATAACTGTTTTAAAATTAATAAAATAGAAAATATGCTTTTCTTTTTCTTTTCCTTTACAGGTTTTATCCGAATTAATTTAAAATAAATTATATAATATTAATAATATCAATAATAATACATTTCTTACGTGTTGAGAAAATTTTTATTTTTAATTAAAATACATATACCTATAGGTAGGTAGGTAAGGTACCTACCTAAGTACTTAGCATAAGTAATTATAAACAACAGGTTATTTCTTTAATCTGGTGCGTAACAATGTAATTAAAAAAACCCCTAAGATGGTTGGTAAATAATATAAATGAATTCTAAATATTGAAGTAAACACAATAAGTAAATAAGTAAACTATAAGGATTATTGGTTGGGGTTCGGCTCTGGGGGATAGGGCATTTAGGATCAAAATATTGAAACTAAACTTGGTATATGGATGTATTATCCTATAAAAATAAAAATCGCTTTAAAAAAATTCACGCCTCCCCAACCCTATCTGATATGGTGAGGGTGGCATCCCCAAAAAATTAAGTTAGAACTTTTTAAATAAAACAGTTGAAGTCTACGATTTTTTATACATAAAAACCCAAAATTACAATTTGAAAAAATTTTTCCAATTTTTTTTTTTAACAAAAAAAAAATTTCGACTTTAATCTTCAGAGTTCGGATGTGGGGGCTGGCATTTAAAAATAGTTACAGACGACATACAAATCTAATTTTTGACATATTTATAACATACGTGATTTGCAACATTTTTGTATAAAAATCTTACCACCACCATCCCCTAGAAGGAAATGGAGGGGGTGGCATCCCCAAAAAATCAAGTTAGAATGTTTTAAATAAAACAGTTGCAATCTACCATTTTTTATACATATAAACCCAAATTACAATTTTTTTTGAAAAAATTTTTCCAAATTTTTTTTTGAACTTAGAAAAAATTTCGACTTTAACCGTCATAATTCGGATATGGGGGCTGACATTTAAACATAGTTATAGAGGACATAAAAATCTTATTTTTGGCATATTTACAATAGAAAGGATTTGCAACATTTTTGTATAAAAATCTTACCACCACCATCCCCTAGAGGGAGATAGAGGGGTGGCATCCCCAAAAAATAAATTTTGAATTTTTTAAAAAAACATTAAAATCTACGATTTTTTTTTACATACAAACCCAAAATTTTAATTTTTTTTGATAAAATTTTCGCAAAATTTTTTTTTTGGACTTGTTGACAAATTTGATAAAAAAATTGAAATTTTGGGTTTGTATGTATAAAAAATCGTAGATTTTAACTGTTTTGTTAAAAAGTTCTAACTTGATTTTTTGGGGATGCCACCCCCACCATATCAGATAGAGGTGGGGAGGGATGAATTTTTTTAATGCAATTTTTATTTTTATGAGATAGTACATCCACATACTAAGTTTGGTCTCAATATCTCGACCCTAAATGCCCTAGCCTCCAAAGCCGAACCCCAACCGGATTATTTTTGTTGGTATTTCCAATAATCCTGTTGGTTAGGTTTGGAAAATATAAGTAATTTTTATGAATAATTCTTATTATTGGTAGATTGAATTGATTATTCTCAGGTGGTTCTTTACTGTTTTGTTTAAGTGCAAGCTAAAAAATTTTTTTTTTAAATAATATAACTTAAACTAATTTTAAATTATTGTTTTAATTTCTTTATTATATTTAATATTATTTCTACTTTTTCTAACAATAATCAATTTAAGATATCTACTTTGATTGAGACAAAATATTTAGTAGGGGAAGTTTTTAATATTATATAAACATACTGTGTGTGAATTTGGCTAAGCAGTAACCTTTATTTCTATAAACAGGAGGACAATGTTACTTGAAAAATGTATATTTAGAATTAATATTTACCACCATCAAATCCCAGACCTGGATACAATTTTTTTTTTTTTTTAGCAATACGGGAGAAGCAGAAGTGACATTTTTACAAATGAAATTAATTTCAACAAATTTATTTGAGATCATTTATAAAATTATTCATTATTAAAGACACCTTTGAACTCGGAACCTTTCGATTCATAGACGAGTACTCTAAATATTCGTTATGGAGGCTTACGACAAAGTTTTACTTTTTAACGCTGATAATCAGATTGCTTTTAGTTTCATTAAAATCTTAGTTTATTTTTAAATATAGACGAATATCTTGTGGAATGCTATTATTTATTGATTCTTCACAAGAATCACTAATTTTTAATTATATTTAATCTTAAGCCATATTCGAGCGGTCTACTGGTTTAAATATATTTCATGCGGTTCGAAACTGGTTTGAACTACATATTCCCATTCGAGTGACCAAATAATGACGTCACGTTGAAATAGGTTTAAACCAGCTGCATCTGTTTTTGAAACGTTTCATTGAGAACGGTTCAAGGAAATAGAAATGTTATTGATGTCAAAAATAGTAGCGTAGATCATGCATTAAAATTAATTATCAAAAAGGATTTTTTATATTACAGTTATAAGAAAACATAGAAAATGCATAATTATGAAGGTTTATAATTTTTAGTAATTTTTGAAAACTTGACCTTGTAATTCTAAATAACTGGTTAAAGTCGGATTCTAAATATAACGATCCATTTTTCATAAAACTCTGGTAATATATGAGCTTTTTTTGAAGCAAAATATTATCTATCGCTAGAGATTTATACACTCACAAACCCTTAACTGTTAGTGACATCACTGTTTTAAAATCATCTATTTGAGCGTTTTCAAAATCTATGACGTAGTAATGAAACTGGTTCTAAAAGTTGTTGAAAATATTTTTAAACCAAAGAGACAGCTCGAATATGGTGGGTGAGGTTTTCCGGGTTTTCCTCACCTGTAAGTCAAATGGCACCATCAATCATCTTTAAGTCGCCCCGGAGCGCCACGGCAAATAATAATAATAGCCGTCCCTTTCCCCGGACAAGCTCAGCTTTTGGGGTTAAAATTCACTCGTAAGGGGGTGAATTAGGGAGAGTATTATTATTATTATTATTATATATGGCTTTAATAACTAAAAAAATATATATTGACAATTAATTTGACGGAATTTTCACTTATAAAGTTCTAACATCTGACGTAGAGGGCGTATCTAACCAGTAAATAAAATCGTTAGTTCAATGATTGTACCAATAGATGTCGGGCGCGATTGCCTCCAATAACTTTTACATGGCGATTATCCTACTACAGTTCTTTATACAATGATCTCATTTTTTAAATTACAGTTTTCGTTAGTAAATTCGACAGAACTCTTGATAAAAAGTATTAGGACTATATCAGATGCCATAAGAACTTTCCTTAAAATATGAGATGCTGAGATTTGAGATGTTAACTACACACACCCCTCAACACCTCGATATTATATTATTTTCGGACACTATACCTTGTTGCCATTTAACTCTTCTATGGTCAATCTTCGACGTTTCATTTTCTCAACAAAAAAATTAAAATATTACCTGCCATGATGTATGAATTCCTTCAATATATATGTTAAAACAGAAATGCTAAAAAATAATATTATTAACTTGTAAACGCCATTCACGTGTACATTATCATCGAATAGTTCAGTTAAAAGTGATCTTCTCTCTTTAAATTGTTTTTCCGGTAAAGTTATCCTAAAACATTGGTTTAATAACTATTTATGCAACCAGTTAGGAAATGCTTTATTTATGTAACGACTGAATATTTGCAGGACGAGCAGAGCGAGGTTCTAAACATGAACAAGTTACACAAAATGGCATTTCGTAACATGTTATATACAATATTTTTTCAAATTTTGACTAGATTATTTATTAATTGATGTTTTGGTAAAATATTACTGACATATATGCAACCAATATTCTTTTCTTGGATTGTTAGTTGCATATGCATACATTCATTCATTTTATCACCAAACAGAAAATTATATTAATTTATGCTCAACGAATTGTACTATATTTACATTTCTTGTTAAAGTTAATTAGTTTTCAAGAAAGTGGTATTTTTTGATTTATTTTTTTTTTTAATTATTTTTTGCTGATTGAGAATGGATAATAAAGTCCAAAACAACAAAAATTACTGGATTTTAAGTTTGAACAAATTATATTTTTATATAGTCAACCTTCCTTTCTTTGATTTTAAAACCAAAAAAGGTTTATATTTACATACTTTACGCACTCCACAGAGTGCGTTAATTTGTACTTTTTTTCACTAGTGCGTAAAGTAAAACTCTTTATGCACTAGTGAAAAAAATAAAATTTTACAAAAATTGTACATAGCAACAAAATATAACGTTTTATTTTATATTACCATTTTTAGACAAATAAGTAAATTATTTTTGCTTATATCTATTTAGTCCAACAAATTATTAACAGTTTTTTGTTTTAATTATTTTTTCTAAATGTCACTAGTGAAAAAAACTAACTTTTATATTTTTAATATTAGTGGATAATGTGTACGATAGTAGAAAAATTATTTTGTAACTAGTTGCATAAAGTAGATCATTTTGACACTTGCTGCGACTACAAAAAAAGTCATTTTACATGTCAAAATTAGAAAAATTGATTGTGCTCTTATTGAAAACAGAATTGTAATTATTATTTACTTTGCTTCTGTTGTTTCTTGATGATTAGAGATGCCTTTAGTGACTGGCTCTGGTCCTTCTTTAGTAGTGGTATTAAATCCTATCTTTCTAAATCGTAACCTACAAAAATAATATTATTTGTAGTATTTTGTGTTAAAAATATAAATATATAAGTATTGTACTTTCATTTAATATACAGTGTGTCCGTAAAGTATGGAACAAATTAATTTTTAGCTAAACAGACCATTTTAAGAAATAATCCTGAAACATGACGATTTTTGATTTTAATTTACCGCATTTTAAAATATTAATCCAATATACAGGGTGAATTACTTTCGAGTAATGACGTCATCGTAATTTTGTCTCAATTTTCGGATTACTCTAGCTGAGCTGATTCTAAAAATGTATCACATGTTGATTCCAATTGGTACAGGGTGGACTTGTGGTCTAGCAGACAATATGAAAGAAATTATTTCTTATCAATTTTGAAAAAACATAGACGTCTATTTTTTTGTGAAATGTCATTATTTGTTTAGTAATTTATTGATGTTCAGTGATAGTTTAGTACTACAATATTTTTGGTATTCGTGAATGTTTTAATTATTGCTTAGATTTAATTTCAATTAGAAATGGAGTTAAGTGTAAAACAAAAAATTGAAATACTTATGATGATTGTGTATGGAGACAGATCGCGAACTCAGATGGAAGTGTGCAATTTGTTTAATGATAAATATCCAGAAAGACCTATAACGCGTTCAACAGTCAGTAAGATTGAAAATAAATTTCTAGAAACCGGTACGGTTAAAAATGTACGCAAATCAGGTCGTCCCTCTGCAAATGCTGATACAGCATTAGATGTTTTACTTAGTTTTGAAGAAGACGCGCACACTTCTGTGCGTAAAGTTAGTCGCGATATCGGTGTTAGCAAAACAACGGTACACAAACTACTAAAACTTTAAAAATGGCATCCTTATAAAATCAAACTTGTGCAGGATTTATACGAAGATGATCCCGATAGAAGAATCCAATTTTGCGAAAAAATGATGGATAAATGTCACCGAGACCCTTTCTTGATACAAAACAATATTTTTTCTGATGAGGCCACTTTCACGTTAAATGGCGAGGTTAACCGTCAGAATTGTATATACTGGGCAAAAGAAAACCCCCACTGGATGCGTGAGCATCATACACATTACCCGCAAACGGTAAATGTATGGGCTGGAATTGTAAGAAAGCGAATCATCGGACCCTACTTTATCGAAGGTAATTTAAACGGGGCAACGTACCTTGAGTTTTTAAGGGGGTATCTCGTACCTACTTTACGTAATTTGTTTGCCAGCAGACGTAATCCTGGATGTTGTGATGAAAGTTTATGGTTTTAACAGGATGGTGCACCTCCACATTATGCTGTAGATGTTAGAAGGTACCTAGATGAACTTTTTCCGAACAGGTGAATTGGTAGACGTGGACCTATCGAATGGCCAGCGAGGTCACCAGATTTCAATCCTTTGGATTATTTTATGTGGGGCCATCTGAAGAATGTTGTGTATCAAACGAAACCAGCATATATTTAAGAATTAAAAGAGAGAATTCGGACAACAATAAACAATATTTCTCAAGACACAATAAACAAGGTTCAACAAGAATTTGTACACAGTTTGGGTTACTGTCAAATACAGCAAGGGCTGCAGTTCGAACATTTATAAAGTCATGTATATTCTGTCCGCTAGACAATAAGTATTTTTGATAATATTGTTAATTTAAATAATTAGAAATTACTAAGAAATAACTAAGTAATTACTAAGAAATCGCTAAGTAATCGCCATGAAAGTAGACAATCACTAAGTAATCACTAAGTGTCCAGTAAGTAATTACTAAATAATCACTTAGTAATCACTAAGTAATCACTAAGCAATCACTAAGCAATCACTCAGTAATCACTAAATAATCACTAAGTAATTACTAAGTAATTACTAAGTAATTACTAAGTAATTACTAAGTAATTACTAAGTAATTACTAAGTAATTACTAAGTAATTACTAAGTAATTACTCAGCAATTACTAAGTAATTACTAAGTAATTACTGAGTAATTACTAAGTAATTACTAAGTAATTACTAAGTAATTGTTAAGTAATTACTAGGTAATTGCTAAGTAATTACTAAGTAATTACTAAGTAATTGCTGAGTAATTACTAAGTAATTACTAAGTAATTACTAAGTAATTACTAAGCTATTGTTAAGTATTTGCTAAGTAATTACTAAGCAATTACTAAGTAATTATTAAGTCATTACTAAGTAATCACCAAGTAATCACTAAGTAATCACTAAGTAATCACTAAGTAATCACTAAGTAATCACTAAGTAATCACTAAGTAATCACTAAGTAATCACTAGGTAATCATTAATTAATCACTAAGTAATCACTAAGTAATCACTAAGTAATCACTACGTAATCACTAGGTAATCACTAAGTAATCACTAAGTAATCACTAGTAATCACTAAGTAATCACTAATTAATCACTAAATATTCACTAAATGATCATTAAGTAATCGCTACAGTATTCATTAAGTAATCACTACAGTAATCCCTAGGTAATCACTGAGTAATCACTAAGTAATTACTAAGTAATCACTAAGTAGTCTGTGTGTTTTATGATCTCTATTTTATGGTCAAAATTTAATTTTTAAATAATATATATTTCCTTATAAATTATTAGGTCTAAACTAAGCAAGTAACCTCTTTCAACATTTAAAATTGTTGTTAATAAATAGGTGCACATATTATTCACATATTGATTTAATATTTTTCTTTAATGGTATATTGTGGAATGTAAAAAGGGAAAAATTAATATTTTACGGGTTTTGCAATATTCTACTTTATATTTTGCGCATCTTGTCCTTTGCTTGGTACCAATGCTAACGACTTGCTGTGCCATATATTGATGGATTTATTATTCTTTTGTGTTTATGCATATGACATATGATTTAATTCCTTACTTTCTCTAGATATTTAGTTTATTTAGTTATGAATTCATCACAAGCTGTAGGATAAATTTTTAGGTGAAGTCCTTGAATAATAACATTGTTAAGGTTTATTTAAACATTAAACAATAATTTTGAATTTGTTTGATGACAAACATATCTATATATTTATAAATTAGTTTCCTTTATAATAATTTAAAAATTGTTAATTATTTAATTTATTGGGTAAAGTCATAACAAAGGAACATAAGTTTGAGGTTTGTTTTTATTTTTTCTTTTTTACTGAGTTTTACTGAGTTTAATAAGCACAAAGTTTGGCCATTATAAGAACTCAGCGCGCTTTCAATTTGTCTATTGTTTTCAGAATTTTTCTAAGCTATCCACCCCTAGCGACTTCGAAGGCCAAAAGGTTGTCAATGAAACTTATGTAACCAAAGATACAAAATTTTTATTGGTTAATTCTTTTTTTAAAGAAGTTTAGTTTTAGGTAGTCTCCCTCTTTGAAAGTTGCAGAGTGCATTCGGTAGGTTTTAGAACATATGGACGGATGGACTAACGGACGGTCTAACGGACGGACTAACGGATGGACTAACGGACGGGCTAACGGACGGACTAAAGGACGGACGGACATTTTAAAAAGTTGTTGAAAGTTTGATGAAAAGGATTTTGGTACATACATTTTTAAATAAAACTATGACGTCATACAGTCATGACATAACGTCTATTTTTTGTTAATTCCTCTGTTTATCACCTCAATTAACAATTCACCTCAATTAACAATTCACCTCTTCCACAAACAAAATCTTGTTTCGTCATTTTGAAAAAATCACTATTTCGCTTATGAAGTCACTAGATCAAATTCATGGAACACAAATTTCTTACGACTGATTGTCGTTAGTATGTTTCTAAAGGCCTCAAAAAAATTAACGTATATCTTGTTTTTATGTATCAGCTTGAATTAAATTATAGCAGAGCGTAGTTATTACAGACATAAACATTTTTTATTTAATATACAGGGTGTCCCGAAATTAGACGGTCATATTTTAACAGAATAATCTACATCCTTAAATAGGAGTAAAAGTTTATACAAGCATAGGTCCAAAAACGCTTCTTTTTCGAGATACAGGATGTTAAAAGTGAAGTCCTGATGACACTCTTTTGTAAATATTTTCTAAACTTTTAAAGATAACTAAATGAAATTTAGTACAAATGCTTACCTTTTTACGCTCTATTTAATGGACTAAATCCCAGTTTATGATCATCTTCATAGGTGGGTAAATTAGGGGGGCTTAGGGTAAAATTGCCCTAAGTTTTTTTGTTTACAGTTTTTAACATTTTTGACTATAAAATTTAGAAAACCAATATTTTCATTATAATAAAGCTACTTCTGTTGCATCTCGCTAGGACGCACCATTTTCAAGAAAAAAGCATTTGAAAATTTCATGATAAGTTATTTGAAAGTGTAAACAATAATTAGTAGGCCTGTGAAATCAGAAATTTTATTTTTTTACTTTGGAAAACCGGTGACTAAAGAAATTTTAGAAAATATTACAAAAATGTGCCATCAGCACTTCACTTGTAACACCCTGTATCTCGAAAACGAAACGTTTTCGAACCTATGTTTATATGAACTTATATTCCTATTTTAGCATGTTGATTACGCTGTTAAAATATGATCGTCAAATTTCGGGACACCCTGTATATTAAATTAAATTTAGTTTATAATCTCTAAAAAAGTGTGATCTTTTTGAAAAAATGTAGTATAAAGCATTTTTCTTACTCGCTTGATTTATGACACTTTCCTTAGGGCTTATATGACAGTTGCTTATTTGTCCGCATTTTCAGGAACTGTAGTAACCATGAATACCAGGTCCGGCCCGTGAGTTATTTAGAGGTGGGTCAAATTGTGGTTGATAAAGACGCAGGCAAAACCGCGCTGGCTCGAACTAGAAAATTTGTTTTGGGGGGTTACACAAAAACTATTTTTTATGTTTTTCACTATTATATAGAGCAAATAAAAGACACATCCCTTGAGGTATCTTTAGACAATTGTTATAATAATACCTATTATTGAGAAAATTCTCAGGATAAATGGCTCTCCTTTTATGTAGTTACGAGAAATCACTGATGATTTGC